GACAGGTTGTGGTTGACGATGTCCGTTAGAAGAGTAGAGGGAAAATGGAAGCGAGGGAGAGAACGAGTCTTCGCCAGCGTGACGGGCAAAAACTGAACTTGAAAGTTCAAAAATGAAAACGTGGGTGAGGCCAAATGGCCGAAACCCCTTCTTTTGTAGTCGGAGAAGGGCGAATAGCGCTTCGACGATGCCTTCAAGTGCTGCGTACAAGCTGCTGCGCTTTCACAATAAGTCATTTTAGAAAGTGTAACACTTTCGAAAATATACATATCTATGCAGCGCTGTCAGCACAGCTCTATTCTCAAACTCACTAAACACTGTACCAATAATTTGTGTACACAAGCTTCCTTTAGTTCAGACCACTGCCTCAATCTCGCCTGTCAAGATGCTTGCTTTCTTCCTTCTGTCTTGTTATCTCCTGTACATGCCTTCACCCACTTCCTTCACAGCACATTGGCTATTCTCCTGACCTTGGCGTCAGTGCCACCTTTGGCGTCGGCTAATCTCAGAAGTGACTTCACTTCACACTATAGCGTATCGGCCATCTACCAACCATGGCGTCTTTGATTTGTTTCAAGGGCTCGAGACTAGCTATTTCCTAACCATGGTGTCAGTCCGCGGCGGGCACAGCATGGCTTTAACTCGCTTCACGGGCGGCAACGCGAACAACTCGTCGCACGCGCCGCTCCCGGCGAGAGTGCCGGCGCAGGAGACGGCGGTGGAGAGGAGGAAGAAGGACGCGCAGATGACGTTGAAGATAGACGTTCCTCCCATCACCATGGCGCGACGGCGAATGAGGGAAGGCGGATTGGTGGAGTCCGGCGCGCAGGTTCGACAAGTGACTTTTTTAAGTCGACTCAAAAGTCACCGCGAGGGAATGACGGATGGCGGATCAGACCGTCGCGCAGGAATGTCAAGTCTGCTGCGGAAGATATAACCCTTAAGTTGTTAAGGATGTCATAAACGACTGAGACGATGATGTCGGAGAGTGCTAAAGAGAAGAGCTCTGATTCTGAAATCCGGAACGGCCGGCAGATGTCGCGAGTGCAGACGATATGCTCGTGGAAGCGACTAGCCGTCAACTGCGGAGGTAAAGCGATTAATTGAGCCGTCAACCGACCTGACAGAAAGCGAAATGTGTTTCAGTGTGAGGGATGCTGCAACTAATCCGATCCGATACCTTTCTTTCCGCAATCCGTGGCAACGACATAAATGGAGCTTCTGCGTATGCACCCGCGAAAGGCGGGAGATTTGGCTGCCTGAGTTTTCTTCTAAGTATCCAAGATCTGGTCTGGGCCGGTTCAGGATGGTTCTGGAATTTGGATAATTCCCCCTGCCCCTGCATTTGAAAGTTTCGGCGGATTCATACAAATTTGAACATTTGCGGCATCCACAGGGTGCCACATGTACACGAAGCGTGTGTTTCTAGGCGTACCGGCACCAACCTCGACGTGCCACTTCAGACAGCGAGATGACCCGTGGTTAGCCAGGTCAGCCTCGACATTTTCGGCAAACCAAACCCAATCCAATTCCTGGATTCCCATTTCAATCTCTTGACCAAGCAAATTTACAAGTCTAGACCTCTTCATTGCCATTTCTCTCTTCTTGCTGTCCCTCAGCTCTCACGTCGTATCCTGTCGCACGCTGATTCGGCTTATGGCGGCGTCGCTTCTTGCTCCCGTCAGCTCTCACCTCGTCGCATCCTGTCGCACGCCGTGTCGAGCATCTGTCGCTAATGCGGCCGAATGGGGACGACGAGAGTTGAACACGCGACGTCGCCTCGTTTTCTGCTCAGCTCAACCGCCCGCAAGCAATGCAGAAAACGACAAGGATAAAAGCGACAAAAGCCAAGAACAACAGCCCGAATCAGAACCCATCGCACCGCCTCCCGCAGCGTCATTTGCGGCGTCTCCTGAGGGGCGCGATGCGATAATGGCGGAGCTGGATCGCGCGTTGAGCGGCGAGGAGTCGAAAGCGCTCTGGGCGGACCTCGAGTCGGCTGCGCTGCGCGTTTCCCGCGCGCGCGCGTCGTACGAGGAGATGGAGAAGAAGGAGAAGGAGCTGCTCGCGCTCAAGGCGGAACTGGAAGCCGCCGCGCTGATGGAGGCGGAACTCGCGCAGGCGGACGCGCAGGTGAGCGGAAGATATCAGAACCGGCGCAAGCGGGAACCAGGGGGCAAGAGGGAAGATTTGGGGGGGGGGTTGGGGGGGGGGTTGGGGGGGGGAAGAGGAGGGAGAATAAACAAGCGCCCTAAAAACAACTCTCTAGAGGGCTAAAACCCGCCCTCGAGTCCACCACCTGCGCATAAATATCACACTGGAAAGGCGATGAGACAACTCCGAAACCGAAGTCTGATCGCCCCTTGCAGGCGATCACACAACTCTAAATCCCAATCCAGGGTCTCCCCCTGCAGGTCCTGCATGGTCCCGCATGGCCCCCCTACATCCCTCCACACTATCCCCCACACTACCCGCGAAACCATCCCCACAACCCCATAGTCTTGCTCTCCCCCGCTTCCAATACTTGCTCTCCGTCTTTCTCCATGTCCGCTGAATTGTCACTCTTCCCCTCCCATTCACCCCCTTCCTCTGCCATCCTCATTCCCCCCATCCTGCTGCCATCCTCATTCCCCCCATCCTTCTGCCATCCTCATTCCCCCCATCCTGCTGCCATCCTCATTCCCCCCATCCTGCTGCCATCCTCATTCCCCCCATCCTGCTGCCATCCTCATCGCTCCCCAATCCTTCCGCCATCCGCACTTCTCCCCATGTTATGCCCGCTGTCACCCCCCCTCCTCCCCCCCCTCCCTTCCCCTCCGCCGCTAAACTCTGCAATGGCAGCAGCTATGACAGCCTTCCCTTTCTCCCCTCCTACCTTCAAGAACTTAAGGAAGGGAGCTTTGAGCGAAGATCAAACATGACATCTTGAGACTGTTTGTGGAGGCTAAATCGCCATCTGGACACCTCCCTCCCTGTCGCTTTGTACCCTTTAGGTGGAGAAGCTCGAAGCTGAGGTGGCAGCAGCAGAGCAGGCAGCCAGGGCTGCCGGAGCAGCCCTCATCGAGGCTCGGGCAGGCGGCGGCTTCCGAACCAGCAGTGCAGGCTCGGGAGAACAAACCGCAGGAAAATGGGCGGCGAGCACCGGCACGATCGATGACGACAAAGAACGAGTGCAATCAGCCAAGGCGGCTACAATAGCAGCTGTAGCTGGCACTGTAGCAGGCCTGCCGTTCCTGCTGAGTCAGCGAGCACAGGAGGGCGGGACAGGATTGAGTTTTCTGGTGGCAGCAGCGGCGCTAGCTGCAACATGCGCACTGTTCGGTGTAACCTACCGGTACATAGTTCGAAAAGACGTGGGAAACATTCACCTTAAAGCCGGGGCGGTGGGTGCATTTGGGCTTGCGAGAGGGTTGGCTCAAGTGGACTCCACATTCTCTCTTGTGAGCACGGGGTCGGCAAATAATGGCTTCACAGATAATATCATGGGTAGTATGACGGATGGTGCCTTGGTGCCGGTGGCACTATCGCTGCTGGAGGCAGGGGAGGGGATGCTGGTGCTGGCCCTCACTGCTACTGCGCTTGAATACTGCCTGCAGACGGGATTCCTATCTACTTTCCCTGCTGAATCACCCTCCGCTTCGGAATCATCGTCTAAATAAGAGGTTTGATCAAATAAACCTGTATAGTTCCGAGGCTTAGATGCGACTACTCGAAATGTATGGTTGGCAGTATGTACCGGATTGCAATGTTGTGGTGTGTGTGTGAGCCTTCCTGGCTTGACCCATGTGAGTTATCACTCCATGGGGGTTTTCTCTGCTGGCCCCTGTGAGCTTTGACTTCTGAGCGTTTGCTTTGCAAAGCATGGGGGATGGGGGATGCCTACCTGGAATATAGCATAATCTTCTCAATGCTACAGCAATTCCAAAATAAATATGAATAAAATCTTCGGGTAAAGCTACGTAACACAATTTCCACCATTCAATGAAGCAACTTCTGTAGAGCCGCGATGACCTCTCGATACAAGACGCGGTCTTTCGGCATTCCCAAGGCCAACCACCCCGCTGGGCTAATCTCATTTCTCCTCGCTCGTTTCTATCTTCTAGTGACCAATGACCATTCCTCCTGCCATTCCTGCCGTGACCATGACTGCTGCTGGTCAAATGGCTTCGACTAGATGACCTTTCTTCCGACATCGGCCTCAAGCGACTCGTAAAGTTTCTCTTTGTTAGTCGGTGGGTTAGGTGCTTACATCGCACCGACGCCCTAGATTGAACCTTCACAGGCTTGTGTGCCTGGTCCGTGCTGTCGCTTCATTCACTTTGACCCCCTAAGCAATTGACGCGCGTCAAATCGAGCGTATCTTACTTGTTCTGCTTCATCCGCAATCGCCGAGAGAATCTTGATAAGATTCGCAACTTATAACCACCATTTCGCAACTTATGCTCCTCTGACACCTTAAGCGGTAATCAGTGGCTCGCAATATCCACCCCGCAGCCTTATGCCTGTGTCGCACTCTCTGCTGATACTAGGTAATGCAAAGCTCCTCTCATCGAAACCCTAGCGACTTGAGGGAGGAGAGCCCGAAGCGACAGCGAACCGAATCGGCAGACGCATCATTAGTAGCAGCAGCAGCTGCAGCAGCGACATCAGAAACCCTAATCGCCGGCATTCCTGTTTCCCACCCGCCTGCTCATTCTATCTTCGCTAACGAGGTGTCCGATATAAACATTTCCGATACAGCGAAACATCTGGGTTCGGGAATGTCAACCCCAACCAGGGGCGGTTCCCCCGCCCCTGGAACCGAACCCCACCCCGCTACAAACCACCAAAATCCCCATCCTCACGCTCAGCATGCTTCACCGCACCAGCAGCACCGAGGCAGCGGATTGCCGGGCGACAAAGACGAACTTTCGCGAAACTTCCCTGTCGACGACATTGTGCAGCATCCGTTACCCGGTTACGTGTCCCCGTCCGCGATCGCGTTCAGTCCCGACGATCAAATGATCTCTTACCTCTTCAGCGAAGAGGATACCCTCACGAGGAAACTATTCGCGTACGAGTTAAAGACGGGTCAGCAGAAGCTATTAGTGGCTCCTCCGGGCGGCGGAGTCGATGAGGATAATCTCTCGATGGAAGAGAAATTAAGGCGCGAGAGGCAGCGGGAGCGCGGCTTGGGAATCACGCGCTACGATTGGTCCAAGAACGTAGCGGTTCCGCGGATCATGATACCGCTGCCAGATGGCGTGAGTTCATTGGCCCGCTTCTACTCGTGCCACCGCTGCGATGTGTCCCGTTTTTACCCTTACAAGCCGGTTTCTGATCTCCCCACCCCTCCCCCCCCTCCATCCCCACACCCCAACCACCTTACAACCCCCCCAACATCCCTGTGGTTAAGGAAATTTAAGTTCTTTCTTCTTCACTCGTATATCGCAACGAACAATTCTACTGTTTCCACACTGTCTCTCCTCCCCCCTCACTCTGCAGCCCCCATTCCTCCCCCCACCACCTTCCCGCCCCCTTCCCCATGCTCTAATTCCCACGTTGCTTGTTTCCGCTCACCTTTCCCCCTTCGCGGTGCCTCCGCACGTGTACTGGCGAGAATCTGCGCCTGCGCATTCCGCGGCCCCCTATTCTTGACCGCCCTTTCCCGTCCCCCCGTCCCCCCTGCGCCCCGCCTCCGCAGGTGTACGTGCAGGACGGCATGGGCGCGGATCTGCGCCTGCGCATCCCGGGGGGCGCGTCCCCCATCCTGGACCCGCAGATCTCCCCCGACGGCTCCGCCATCGCGTTCGTGCGCGACGACGAGCTCTTCGTCGTCTCCACCACCGCGGGCGCGCCCCGCCAGCTCACCTTCGGCGCAAAGGAGGCCAACAAGGTGCGCATTGAGTACTGGGGGTTGAGGGCTGGAGTAAAGTGCAAGGGTAGAGTTTTGGGGCGGTAGAGTAAGCTGAGGGCTTGATGCACGGAAGCACAGACGAGCTCTTCGTCGTCTCCACCACCGCGGGCGCGCCGCGCCAGCTCACGTTCGGTGCAAAGGAAGCCAACAAGGTGCGGCTGGGTACTGGGGGTTGAGGGCTAGTGTAGAGTGGTTGGGAGGGTGTTTGAGTAGAGTGAGGAATTCGATGCACGGGAGCAGAGACGAGCTATTCGTCGTCTCCACCACCGCGGGCGCGCCCTGCCAGCTCACCTTCGGCGCAAAGGAGGCCAACAAGGTGCGGCTGAGTTCCGGGGGTAGAGTGCTCGGCGCAAAGGAAGGTAACAAGGTGCGGTTCAGTCAGTGCAAAGGCTTAGTCTTGGGGTGTAGTAAAAATGGGTTTTGGGGTGGTAGAGTAGACGACTGGACTGGACACATGGAAGGAAGCATTTTCGATGGAGAAGACAAATGCGTTTCCTTCTCACTGCCTCACTCCCATGTGCACAGTTGTGAGCTTCCAATCTGAAAGCATGACATGCCATTACGCGCTTTATCCCTCCTTGTCTTCCAAATCCTGCGTATCTTGCTCTTGGTTTGCATGCTTGTGCTTTAACTTGTGCGTGCGTATGTGCGCGTCTGTGTGCAACCCCATGCGTGTGTATGTGCGTCCCTATGTATGTGTGCGTGCTTGGTGCTGTGCTGTGGCGATGGCAGGTCCATGGCTTGGCAGAATACATCGCACAGGTAAGCGGCCGCTTCACCGTCCCTTTTATTCACCGGCCCCTTCAACCCTGGCCCAACAAGCACGCCCTCACCACTATATTTGTCTTAAAAGCACCCTCGTTATGCTTATTCATTCATGCACTACATGTCCGACTCTGGATTCGTTGTTTGTTAGTTCACTCATATCATAGCCATGCTTCTTTCAACGTAATGCTGTCTCATCCCGTCTGCTCAATTGCCGAACAATTTCCCACCTTCCCGTTTCCCTGTCTCCCCTCTCTCCCCTGCACTCTCTCCCCCCTCCCCCTCTTCCTCCCTCCTTTCTCCTGCGCCCCCCCCCCCCCCCCTCATTCTCTCCTTCTCTCGGCCCTCCTTGCAAGGGCAGGAGGAGATGGAGAGGCGCGGTGGCTTCTGGTGGGCGCATGACAGCACGCGCATCGCCTTCACCCAGACCGACCCCCCCTCACCCTGCCCACCTCCTGTCCAAACTCCCATCTCCAAACCCCCCCTCCCCCCCTCCCCCCTCCCTCCCCCGCATCTGCTCGCATTCGCCCTCATCCTGCTCTCCCTCTGGCCCCAACAGGAGGAGATGGAGCGGCGAAGTGGCTTCTGGTGGGCGCATGACAGCACGCGCATCGCCTTCACGCAGACAGACGCCTCTGCTGTACCGCTCTTCCGCATCCCCCACTGCACTCGCCCGCCTGTGGGGGCGGACTCCGAGGAGGAACATGCATACCCCTTTGCAGGTACTGCTCTTGAGGCGCCTCTTGGCAGGTAGTTAACACTGACTAGCTTTGCGCCTCTTGTTTTAGCTCCCCCAATTTGGAGACAGGCTTCTCCGCATCCCCCAATGCACTCGCCCGCCTGTGGAGGCGGACTCAGAGGAGGAGCATGCACACCCTTTTGCAGGCACTGGTATGGTGTCGGGTCTGGGTTTCAGGTATAGGTTGCCTTTGCCAGACTTGGGAGTAGCATGGAAAATCAGGCCAAGTAACAAGAACAGTCAGCTTTTTCTGGAACCCCGTTTTCTAGAGTTCCTCCTCCTCCCCTTTTCTTCAGCCCCCCCTGTTTCAGCCCTTTCAGCCTCTTTTTTTCCGCCTTCTCTCCCTTTTGTTGTGTTTGCCATTCCAAACGTCCTTGTCCTGTCTTCCTCCCTTTTCCAGGCCAGGCAAACGTGAGCGTGAGGCTCGGGGTCGTGCCCGTGGCTGGCAGCGAGGTTCGGTGGATGGATCTGCATTGCGGCTTGGCAGGCAGCAGCTTTGGTAAAACAAAAAGCAGCAGCAGAAGTGGCGGAATCAACGGGTTAGAAACGCTGGTGCGGGTAATGATGGCAACGGCGGCAATGATGGTGGTAATGGCGTTGGTGATGGTGATGGTGTACGGATAGGAGGAGGCACAGGGCAGGTGGTGGCACAAGACAGTGGGGTGTTTCAGCAGGGAGAAGCAGCAAGGACAGTGGGTAGCACACACGAGGGTGATGCAGGGAACCTACCTGGAAGGGACGCTGGGGAACCAGCACTGCCTGAGAAGGAAGCGAGTGGGATTGCGACTGCTGGCAGTAGTGGCAGTGGCAATGGCACTGCCACAGCTGCTACAGCCGCTACAGCTGCTACAGCCGCTACAGCTGCTGTAGACGATGATGACGACGATGAGGAGTACCTAGCGCGCGTGTCATGGCTCCCAGACGGGCGTCTGTCCGCGCAGGTACAGAACCGCAGGCAGACGCGCCTCAAACTCCTCCGCTTCGACCCCAACACAGGCAGCAGAGACCTCGTTCTCACTGAATCCAACCCCCTCTGGGTGAACCTGCACGACTGCTTCACCCCCCTGGTGAAATCCGGAGGGGAGCTGCGCGGAGGGTTTCTGTGGGCGAGTGAGCGCACGGGGTTCCGGCACTTGTACTTGTATGCGGGGTCGGGGCGGTGTGTGGGGGCGGTGACGGCGGGGGAGTGGATGGTGGAGCAGGTAGCGGGGTTGGATGAGGGCGCTGGGCTGGTGTATTTCACTGGGACCATGGATAGCGCATTGGAGAGTCATTTGTATGTGACGAGGTTGTTTGGGGGCGTGGACGGGGGAGGAGGGGGTGCTGGGTTGGGGTCTGCGTTGGGGGCAGACAAGCGTGATGCGTTTTCTCGTTATGAGCAGCAGCAGCAGCAGCAGCAGCAACAGGTGGTGCCAATGGTGTTAGATTCGGTGCAGCCCACCGCATCATCATCCCCAGCAGCAGCAGCAGCAACAGGAACAGCAGCAGGAGTAGCTTCACCAGATCTACCTGTCTCCATCCCATCAGCACCACCACCAGCAGTATCAGCACCACCCGCAGCAGCAACAGCACTCCACGCACCCTCCCCCTCCCTCGCCCCCACCACCCCCTCGTCTCTGCCGCCCGCCCGCCCCATCCGCCTCACCCAGGGCCCCGGGCGGCACCTGGTGGTGCTGGACCACAGCCTGCAGCGGTTCGTTGACCTCGTTGACTCGCTTGACTCGCCGCCCGCCGTGCGCCTCTGCTGCCTGGCGTCGGGGCGAGTGCTGGCTGTGATCTTCCAGCAGCACTCGCCCAACCCCAGGGTGCAGCGCCTGCAGCTGCGCCCACCCGAGTTGGTAGAGGTGACTGCTGCGGACGGGACGACACTGCACGGGGCGATTTATCGGTGAGTGCTGGCATGGGGAAACCCTCTCCCTTAGGGCGGGGCGAGTGCTGGCAGTGATCTTCCAGCAGCACTCGCCCAACCCCCGCGTGCAGCGCCTGCAACTCAGGCCTCCGGAGCTGGTAGAGGTGACTGCTGCTGACGGCACCACGCTGCACGGGGCCATCTACCGGTGAGTGGGTATTGGGGGATTGCAGCATCATCCTCTGGGTGTTGACTTTTGAGGCACCTCAAAAGTATCGGGGGATTGCAGCATCATCCTGTGGGTGTTGGTATGTGGGGGTGCCATGTGCTGCAGTCTCATCCCGCCGGAGCTCATGGAGGTCACTGACTCACTGCTGCCAATGGCACCACACAGCACGGGGCTATTTACTGGTGAGTGCTAGCTTTCTCTCGCGCTGGCTTTATGGCTGTAGCCGGTGGGTGTAGGTGCGTGTGTGAGATGCCATGTGCAACAGTCTCGTCCCATCATCCTGCCAGAGATCATGGAGGTCACTGACTCACTGCTGCCAATGGCACCGCACTGCACGGGGCCATCAGCAGCAGCAGAATTCGCTGGTGAGTCTGTATGAGGGGATTGCAGGGAGCATACCTTGTGTGTGTGCAACACCTTATCCCCCTAGCCCCCACGTCTCCCCTCCCCCCTAGCGCGCTGTGATGAGTGTGTATGGGGACCTGCACGTGCAGAAAGTGTGTATGTCACCTTATCCCCTCTCTCCCCACCCTCTTTTCCACCCCCCCCCTCGTCCCCCCTCCCCCCCCCCTCTCCCCACTTTCCAGCCTGATCCGGCCATCTTTGGTCCACCGCCCTACTGCTTGGTGGTGAGTGCATACGGGGGACCGCATGTGCAGGCGGCGTGTATGGCACCTTATCTCTTCCCTCCCACCCTTTCTCTCTCTCACCCTCTCTCTTCCCTTGCAGCCCTGACCCGGCCATATTTGGTCCCCCTCCCTACCGCACGGTGTACAGGGGCCCACACGTGCAGACAGTGTGGATATCACCTTATTTCCCCTCTCCCATCCTCTCTCTCTACCCTCTCTCTCTCTCCCCTTGCAGCCCTGACCCGGCCATATTTGGCCCGCCCCCATACCGCACGGTGGTGAGCGTTTATGGGGGCCCGCACGTGCAGACGGTGTGCGAGTCGTGGCTGTCGACAGTGGACATGCGCGCTCAGTTCCTGCGTGCTCGAGGCATGCTGGTGTGGAAGGTGAGCCGATTACGCACAGGGCCACACACACACACAGACAGGCCGACTGTCAGAAAGTTAGGCACACAGACACTCAGACACCCCAAGGCACAGACAGGGATAGACCACCACACGTGCAGACGGTGTGTGAGTCGTGGCTGTCTGCGGTGAGACATGCGCGCTCAGTTCCTGCGCGCTAGAGGCATGCTGGTGTGGAAGGTGAGCAGGATACACGCAGGGGGCAGCGCTTTGACATTGCACAGGCAGGGCGTCAGACAGACTCACAGACAGACACGGCAGGGTCATAGACACAGTGTCCCAGTTGTGGCAATCCACGGTGGACACGCGCGCTCAGTTCCTTCGCGCCCGAGGCATGCTGGTGTGGAAGGTGAGCGTGAGATGCAGAGCTTAAAAGGAAAGATACACACTCACACAGGCATATGAACAGAGGCAAACATACAGGAACACAGACAGGGCAGGTTTCTAAGGCGAAAGCCAAAAAGCCAGAAACCTGTTCTCAAGCCAATGGTCGTCTCATGAGTCCTCGCATTGAACCTCCCAAGTCAGGGCCTCCATGGTAGTCCGGCAGTCATCCAACTTCCCATATCTCCATCCCTCCCTCTACCCCTTGCATCTCACCTCAATTTCCCCCCCCCTCATCTCAACCCCCAATCTAACCTTCATCTTCTCTCCAGCTTGACAACCGGGGCAGCAGTCGTCGCGGGCTGGCCTTTGAGGGAGCCATCAAGTGCAACATGGGCGGTATAGATGCTGACGACCAAGCGGCCGGCGTCCGTTGGCTTATCCAGCAGGGCCTCGCCGACCCAAACCGGATCGGGATCTATGGGTGGAGCTACGGGGGGTACCTCTCAGCCATGTGCTTGGCTCGGTACCCGAGCCTGTTTCGCTGCGCCATTTCCGGAGCTCCGGTAACCGCGTGGGACGGTTACGACACGCACTACACAGAGCGTTACATGGGCCTGCCTGCGGAGCAGCCGACAGCATATGACCGGAGCTCTGTTATGCGGCATGTGGGTGGGATTCGGGGGAAGCTGCTGCTGGTGCATGGGATGATAGACGAGAATGTGCATTTCAGGCACTCGGTGCGGCTGGTGCAGGCGCTGACTACAGCTGCCAAGCAGTATGAGCTGCTGCTTTTTCCCGAGGAGAGGCACATGCCGAGGGGTCTCCGTGACCGGACATATATGGAGGAGAGGATTTACGAGTTTTTGAGCAGATGTTTGTTGTGATCCTTGGTGGCATGCCGAAAGCTAGCACATATGTGCCAGCCTTATAGATTATATCGATTGTTGCCTGAGATCTTGTTTAATGTAGCTTGATACACATTTCAGAGGTACCGTAGTTCTCCGCCAGCACTGGGTTGTATCTCTGCAAGGCTTCCGAGATTATTGTGTTGTCCCCTTGGGTCACTGTGATGAAGGGCATCAATAGTTATCACCGTCTCTTTATATGTAAGAAGCATTTCAAATAATAAGTGTGTAATCTGTGGCAAGAAGGGACTTATTGAACTTGGAGAATATATTTGTGTGATTACTGTTACGACGAGGTTTACACTCCACGTTCCGGTCAGCCCAAACCAAATCCGTGTGATCTTTGCCAATTGAAAAAACAAGATCAATTCAGATCCAGCTTCACACGTCTCCTCAGCAGGCATCACATGCTCTGTTCAAGTTGCGCCCGACCAGCATTGCGCCGTGCATTGCTCCCTGCACTGCTGGCGGATAAGGTGTAAATTTGGAGAAACTGTACCTTGACCGTCTCTCAACTCCATGTCCACCCATCGCTCAACCAATCGATGAATATATTGAAAGCATGCGTGATTCGTGAAGCTTGTAATATCGGCGAGCGATGTCGACGTGGCTCGGATTTCTGGTCAGAATTTAGATATTTCCAAAGCAGCTGGAAGGCTTTTCGTGCACTGCATTCGAAAATTCTGAAATTGCAGGGCACATGCATCCACGACCTTCTAGAACCTTCGCCAACATTCTAGAAACAAGGGCAGCAAAACTGCTTGCCAGGTGGGCATTGATAAAAAAGGTACTCGGATATTCCTCAGGACACCTCATGCTGTGCCTTTTTTGCCTATCCCTCGCACTGCTGGCGTTTACTTTTTCTTCTCATTGGCAGGTGTGAATTGGAGCGGGCTGCAGCAGAATGGAGGGGCAGGTGGAGGCGCCGTTGCCAGGATGTCGTTTCGCGCCCAAAATGATGGACAGGGCACACATGGTCCATCTCGGAACTACTGTTCACTGTCGCGTCAGCTGAACCTGATCACTCTTTGGAGTAGGGGAGTTTCCAAGAATGGGAACTCTGAGAAGTTTTCTCCCAGAATTCAATACAATATCTCAAATGCAGGGGTGAAACCGACACGATTGCTCGAAAAGACTGCGGAGTAAAAAAGTCGGCAGCCATGAAGTGGTGAGTACACAAGACGTAGCAGACCGAGTTCAGCAGGGACTTTTGATTTCAAAACGTTGCCCGATTGGAATTCCTTTCGCTTTGCCCTCATCACTTGTCACCCCAAGGGACGTCCTTCCTGGCTCGGTGTCGTGTTATGGAAGGATGTTGAGGTATGGAGGAAACTCTTGGTGGTCCGTGCTTCAAGAGCAGCCAACCATTCGCTGAACGCCGATCTTTTCGTCATCCCCTCACGTGCTCCCCGTACCTGGAGGGTTGCTACGGAAATCCTCCTCAGCAGCAGCTTGGTGGCTGACGTGTTAAAATATCAACCAACGCTTTTTCTTCATCTCCAGTGCCTCTCGTTCCTCCCTTGCGCGAACTACAGTGTTCATTAATGACAGTTTTTGCCCCCTTCCTGTCATTGCTGCCCGTGGCCACCTAGTGGCAGCAAGCGGAGCATGGCCCCAGTGTACAGCTGTACACCACTGCGGCGAGCTGCCCAGCGCCTGAGCGGAAAAATAAATATCTTGCGAAAGCCGGCTCCACATTGCACTTTCGTTCAGAAAAGGGGGCGCGAGTTTTTCCTTTCCCACTGCGCGCAGGAATTTCTTAGCCCCTGTTCGAATTCCATCCGGACCGCTATGATTGCAGTTTATCCCTTCTCGTAATCCTGTACGCACACAGAAGGACAACAGAGTCTGGCTGTTTACGCTACAGAGCAAGCACAGCCTTCCCGCGCGTTACGAACGTTGTCTTGAAACCCTGCTAGAACTGGCGGGTCTTCCGACCAGAAAAGGAGTGACGTGTCCTCCTCATTCCGAGGCGAGAGCCAACTAAGCACTCCCGCTTCTCGCAGCGCAAGCTGAACTGTAACTCCCATATTCAGAGGCTCAAAAGCCTCATTCTAGCGGGTGAGATTCAGGAAACACACGGTGCTTGCCGCACATTCACGACCGAGTTACTCACTCCGGTAACGCAGGAGCCCTGAGATACTTCGGCCAACTCTATGGTCGAAAGAAGATCCTCGAGTATTCTCGAACGTCGAGACTGAAAAATCACGCAATCTCTGACTCAGCGTCGAAGACGCCTCTTTGCCAAAGAGGGCCACGAATCCCCTGACGAGAAATCCACGCAAACCCGTCAAGTTGCTGTGAATGTTCGTTGTGGATCACTGGTCAACGCGACTCCGAGTCGATTCGCCTTCCAGCGTCATGTGTCAGCCCATCGCCCCCTTCGCGGAGAAGATTTTCCTCCACCTCGGGCCCGCCGATACCGCTATGGGCTTCGCAGAGCGCGCCACGCGCGCTTCCGCCGCGGTAATAACGAATGCGGATCCCGCGGACCGCGGCGCTTCTTTCGGTCTAGCTGGATCGAGTCACCAGGCGCTGAGTCAGCGCGACGCTTCTGCCTCGTGGTCTGCCGCGACGCCGCCGAGCCGCCGTGCCACGTCACGCTCAGAAGCGCCGCAGGACTCTCCCGCAACGCCGTCACGTGTGAATGCACAATGCGGCGCGATGCCGCCGCGGAGTCCGCTGGCCGTGACTAGTATTGGTAGCCCAGGCGGCGGGGCTGCGACGCCTGCGGCGCGACTTCAAACGGTCACTCCGGCGAACCATCGCATGCGGCCAATATCGCTTCAGGAGCTCAAGGAAAGCTTTCATCTGCCCATCAGCGAAGCTGCCCGAAAGGTACTATTTGACATTTTGCTTTGTTGTTACACCCGCGCCTTGTCACCGTGTCATTTAGCACAATGCGGCTGCCGCCGCGCTCTCTCTTGCTGCGCTTCTCCGCATGTCCGGTCATCTTCCCCACCGCGTCTCCCGCTCATCCTCATCTTCCCGCTCTCCCCCGCCCCATTCCCCCATCGCTCTCCGCGCGTGTGCAGCTCGGCGTGTGCGTGACGGTGTTGAAGCAGCAGTGCCGCGAGCACGGCGTCGCACGATGGCCGTTCCGCAAGGTACGGCGTCGCGAACGGTTCTGCAACTTTGCTTTTTAAAATGTCCCGTTGATTCAACAGTTGTACCCCTCCTGCATACCAAACAACGGATTCGAATTCTATTATCCGGGATTTGTTGCTTGCTTCAATCTCTCCGCCTCGCCCCTTCAGATCCATGCTTGGCCCTTTGCTGATGAACGTTTTCTCTTCTCTCCTCTCCCTCTCTCCTCTCTCCTCCTCTCACCTCGCTCTTCTTCTCACCCATCAGATCCGCAAGCTGGACCACATGCTGTGCGCGCTCGAGGGCGCAGTCAACCGTCCGGGGGCGGCGAGCAGCAGCAAGCCCGCGCTAACGGCGCAGCAGGCGCACACGAACCACCAGCGGAAGCGCAAGATCGGCGCGGTCAAGGAGACGCTGTCGGGGCTCTTGACGGATCCCAACTCCGCGGCGCACATGCGCCTCGGCAAGATTAAGTACAAGCGCTTCCGGCCGTTCCTGGCAGAGGACGATCGGAACATTCGCCCGCGGCCCCTGCACGCGTCGGTTCGACACGCCCGTGCTCCCGCTGACGTTCCCGCCGACGCTGACATTGACGTTGAAGCTGACGCTAACGTCAGTGGCTCCAACGCCGGGGCGCGCAATGGCGCTGGCGCAATGCCGGACTTTGACATGAACGAGCCGCCTTGCAGCGAGGTCGTCTTGGACAGTTCCGCCGATCTGACCCGTTGCGCGGACGGCGTTGCTTGCGCGCGCGACATAGCGTGCGCGGACGGCATTGCTTGCGGGGACGGCATTGCTTGCGGGGACGGCATTGCTTGCGGGGACGGCATTGCTTGCGGGAACGGCATTGCTTTCGCGGACCACGATGCACGCGTGGACGACGACGTTGCTCGCGCGGACGACATTGCGGCAGATTCGTCCTGTTTCACGACGCCTCTCCCCACGCCGCTCCCCACGCCGCTTTCCACGCCGACTTCTTCTCGTCGCCCGCCGCTCGCGCTTCCCCCTTTGTCCCTCGAGCCGTGCAGCGCGCAGCCATGCGCGCGCGCTCTTCCCCGCTCCTTGCTCTCCCCTCTCCCGTCCGCCACGAGCGCGAATCCATTCGCCTCGCCGCTGCACCTGCCGTCACTCCCATCCCTTCCACTCGCGTCGCCGCTCTGCCTGGACGACGATATACCTGCTGCGGTCACTGCGACAGCGTGCCAACCGTTTTCTTCATTATCCCAACCCGCCGCTGCATCCCAACACCTAGTACTGTCAGCGGCCCAGCCGTTAGTAACTTCGTTGCAACCCTCCTCTGCATCCCTGCAGCTATCAGCAAGCCAACCGCCTGCCCCGAGCTCTACGCACAGCAGCGTCATCACCAGCAGCAGTGGAAGCAGCAGCGCCACCACCACCAACGCGGTTAGCGCGACCCGCAGCAACGGTAGCAGCAGCAGCGATTGCGGGCGCGTCGGCTCGACCACCCTCGCGTTCTCGTTTTGCGGCGATCCGGTTCTCCCTGCCCTTTCGAGCGACGCCGTTGCTCCTCCTAATGAAGAAGCTACACTGATTTTCTGTGGGTATAAAATCCGTAACAGAGAACATCAAATGTTTCTGCAGAGACATGGTCTACACAATGCATTCTTGGGGTGAAACTATTTTGTAACAATAAAATCTGTATCGATATCATCATTCAGGCAGGTTGATTCTTCCTGTCTGTATTCTTGTGCTCCATGAATAATAGGTTTTGACATTGCTTGCCATGGTCATTTTTTTTCAGGACGGGAGTGTCAAATCATCCCTGCTACATGCATGCATGACTTTAGTAATTCGTTGGGATCTCCTTTGCAGCGACAGCAGCATCCCAAACATTGCTGGTACTACACGATGGCATGGCATGTCACCCCATCACTCTCTAACCATTGCAGGAAGGTACGGTACAGTACTCCTCAGACAATCAGACACTTTACCAGCTTCCTACAACATCTAATCAGACAAACCTCTTGTCAGAGTTGGCACGGCACAATACTTCAATCCGGTAAAGTTTGCACCAGTGCAGGAGACAAATCGAGGCGCAAGGGCAATGTTTATGACACTCACACCACCCCTCATGATACTACTGCGACCTCCCCTATGTGACCCACCACAATAGCCGGCAGCCGTGCCACAATATGATTCACACGCCCAGAGTGAGCTTGCTAGCTCTATGATGTGTATATCCATGCATACACCTCATACAGACCCTACAGCAGCCTAACACGCCATGCCGTGCATGTCAGATTCATGAATCACACACCCAGTGTGAGCTTGATGTTCATGGCAGCCAGCTCAGCAGCGAGATACTTGAACACATAGGGCATCGCCACTCGCACCACGCCTTTCCCCGTGCCACACACACGACACACCATCTTCTTCTGTCGCAGCTCCCCCCCCACCGTCCCATACCCCACGCCAGCCCCCAACCCCAAGCCTAGCGCCACAGCTGCGTCCGAACCTGCCGACCCGCCTCGGGGACGAGACAGCGCTGGAGCGAGCAGGGAGCCGCAGAGAGAGCAGACGTCAGTGGTGTGGTAGTCTGAGCACGAGTGCAGCCGGTCGTGTAAGAGAAACGCCGCGCCGTGGGACAGCATTGCATCGCGCTCCATCTCTCCGAACCGCACTCCACCGCCCTTCTTCCTCCCCTTTACCGGCTGCTGCGTGAGAGGGTTCACAGGCCCGGTGGACCGAACCTGGAATTTATCTGATACCATGTGCCGCAGCCGCTGATAATACACCACTCCCAGGTAAATTTCACACTCCATTTCGCACCCGTACACTCCGCTGTACATAGTCTCTGTGCCATAGTAGCTGAATCCCTTTTCCACCAGTTGCCGCCCGAATGTGTCCACCAGATCCTCGCGATTCTGCGGCTGATTTGATTCTCCCGCCCTACCTGCTGCCGCCGGACCTGCGGCAGGCTTGGCAGCCTGGCCAGGCTTGGCAGATGAAGATGGGGTTGGGAGATCCAAGGGTGTGAAGCTTCCAGGCCCTTTCTCAGCACCAGCAGCAGCAGCAGGAGTGACAGGAGTAGCAGGGGTGGGGGGGGCACCGGATTTCTTGTGCAGTTTTGAGCGGGGTACAGGAGTGGAGAGACCAGGGGTACCAGCAGAGGAACGGGCCAATCGGGAGGCGCCACGTCGCTGGGCGGGCTGGCGAGACTTGAGGCTCATGGTGAGCGGCGGGGGGTTGGACGTGGCAGGGCGGAACGGGGAAGCATCCACGAAGTTTCCGTGCAAGGCTCCACCCTGCCATGGAGGGGAGGAGGTTGGGATGATGCGGAAGGAAAGCAGAACAAACAAGTTTGAGAGGGTATACAAAGAGAGACAAGGGAACAGGGAGGGGGGGGGGTGTGAGGGAAATGGGTACATTAGAGGGTTGGGGCGAAATGGACTCAACCTAGCCACCACAGACCCAACGAGCAGGGCAACGCCAATCCAAGCACATCTCAACTCACCTTGGCTGCAACTGATTCGACGAGCATGCCTATGGTCATGCGGGAGGGGAAGGCATGGGGGTTGATGATGATGTCCGGGCGCATGCCCGAGGAGGATGCGACAGAGAGGGGGGGGGGGGAGGGCGATAGAATGGGGAGGCGACAGAAGAGGAGAGACATTCAAGCACAATCCACTCACCTTTGCAGCCATGGATTCGACGAGCATGCCGATGGTCATGCGGGAGGGGAAGGCATGGGGGTTGATGATGATGTCTGGTCGCATGCCCGAGGAGGAGGAGGCGAAGGTGACAGACGAGGGGGGCGTGAGAAGGGAGGTGAGTGGGCACAGGACACAACTCAATCAGTACGTTATCTCACCTTGGCAGCCACGGACTCAACGAGCATGCCAATGGTCATGCGGGAGGGGAAGGCGTGGGGGTTGATGATGATGTCTGGACGCATGCCAGAGGAGGAGGCGAAGGGCATGTCCACATCGGGCCACAGCTGCGACAGCACTCCCTTCTGCCCGTGCCTGCTGCTGAACTTGTCTCCTATTTGTGGCAAGCGCCCAAAGCGCATGCGCACGGATGCCTGCGGGGAAAGGAAAAAGGGGAATAGGGGGGTACAGATGGGTGCAGAAGGGTGCAGATGGGTACAACGGAGGTGGTGGGGAGGGGGATCCAGGGAGGGTGGCAGGTCGGCATTCTAACAGGGGAGGAGGAGGAGGCGAAGGGCATGTCCACATCGGGCCACAGCTGTGACAACACGCCCTTCTGCCCGTGCCTGCTGCTGAACTTGTCCCCTATCTGCGGCAAGCGACCAAAGCGCATGCGCACGGATGCCTGGGAGAGAGGAAACAGGGGGGTGCAGATGGGTACAGATGGGTGCAGATGGTGGAGAAGGGAGATATTGGGTGAGGGCTGTGACAGCACTCCCTTCTGCCCGTGCCTGCTGCTGAACTTGTCTCCTATCTGTGGCAAGCGCCCAAAGCGCATGCGCACAGATGCCTGGGGGAGAGGGGGAATAGGGGGGTGCAGATGGGTGCAGAGAGGGTCCAGCGGCCGAGGGAGATACAGCTTTGACAGTATGCGAGGGGTGCACGCGAGGGGGGTGTATCCAGGGGGGTGTGCATCCAGGGGGGTGTGCATCTCGCACCTTAGTGAGCGATGTCTTGGGACCGGTGCCAATGAGCGTGACCCCATCCACCACCGCTTCCTCCCACCCCTTGAGCTCCTTCAGCGCCTTAGCGCCTCCCTCTTAACCACTGACATTCAGAATAACCCCCCCTTTTCCCATGCACCCTTCCCGCACCTCACCACAACAGTACAGGGTCGTACCTTAGTGAGAGCTGTCTTGGGACCGGTGCCAATGAGGGTAACCCCATCCACCACCGCATCCTCCCACCCCTTCAACCCCTCCAACCATCCTCCCCACCGTTGACGACCCCAGTACCTCCCCCACCTTTCCTGCACCTTCTGTCAAACCTCACCACAGAGGTTCAGGGCCGCACCTTAGTGAGCGCTGTCTTAGCGCCGGTGCCGATGAGCGTGACCCCGTCCACCACCGCATCTTCTGACCCCTTCAACGTCTCCTCGCCTGCACGGCACTGCCTCTGCCCTCACAGCAGCACCCTTGGTTCCCTCAAGACTCTCCTGAATATCACACACACCTTAGTGAGGGCTGTCTTAGCGCCAGTGCCAATGAGCGTGACCCCATCCACCACCGCATCTTCTGACCCCTTCAGCTTTATCTCATCCGCTCATGGTCACAGTGAAACCCCCCCCCCCCCCCCCCCCCTCTCCCAACGATCCCCCTGTGCCTACTTAGCTGAATGTCCCCTCATCTGAGTCTCTCACACACCTTAGTGAGCGCTGTCTTAGCGCCGGTGCCGATGAGCGTGACCCCGTCCACCACCGCATCTTCTGACCCCTTGAGCTTGATCTCGTCCGCCTTGCCTGTCACCGTGTTCACCTTGCATGCATACACGTCGCCGCTTGTGATGTGCTGTACAGGGGGTAGCGGAAAGGAGGGAGCAAACGGAGGGGAGGGAGGAAAGGGAAGGGAGGGAGGAAAGGGAAGGGGGGGAGCGGGTTACATAAATAGCTTCGGCTTCAGCTCGTCCGCCTTGCCTGTCACTGTGTTCACCTTGCATGCATACACGTCACCACTCGTGATGTGCTGTGAGGACGCACAGAGGTAGGGATGACAGAGGACGAGGCAGCAGTAGGAGGGGTGGGGGTGTGATTTAAATAGCACCAGCTCTGTCGCCTCCGCCTTGGCCGCTTGCCAGCCGCCCGCCCCATCATCCCCTACCTCCCTCCCTGCCTCCCTGCCTCCCTGCCTCCCTGCCTCCTTGCCTCCCTGCCTCCCTGCCTCCCTGCCTCCCTCCTCGCCCTTTGCCAGCCCTTTGCCTCCCTCCCTCCCTCCCATTCTCACAATAATCCCGTGGTTCATGCACGCACCTCCCCGGGGCGAGGCAGTCCATCAGTGTCGATGGTCCACTTGTGTCCGCGCTGGTTGCTAACAGGCCGCCCCAGCATCGGCACAGGCAGGCCGGCCCTTTGCCTCCCTCCCTCCCTCCCTCCCTCCCTCCCTCCCTCCCTCCCTCCCTCCCTCCCTCCCTCCCTCCCTCCCTCCCTCCCTCCCTCCCTCCCTCCCTCCCTCCCTCCCTCCCTCCCTCCCTCCCTCCCTCCCTCCCTCCCTCCCTACCTCCCTCCCTCCCTCCCTCCCTCCCTCCCTCCCTCCCTCCCTCCCTCCCTCCCTCCCTCCCTCCCTCCCTCCCTCCCTCCCTCCCTCCCTCCCTCCCTCCCATTCCCCTGTTTAATCCCGTGGTTCATGCACGCACCTCCCCAGGGCGGGGCAGCCCATCGGTGTCAATGGTCCACTTGTGTCCGCGTCGGTGACTGGCCGCCCGCCCCAGCATCTGCACGGGCAGCCCGGACGGCGTGAACTTGGCCACGCGTGACGCTGACCCCTGGGTGGCCTCGATCACCTCGTTCTGTTGGCAAGCGGGATTCAGGCAGCAAGGGCGTAAATGCAATTTTGAGACAGTTTTGAGGCGCCTCAAGACGGCGTGAACTTGGCCACACGGGACGCTGAGCCCTGGGTCGCCTCAATCACCTCGTTCTGGGAGGGGAGTGGGAGTCAGGCAGCAAGGCAGTGATTTGGGTGGCAAGATAGTGATTAATACGACCCGATAATGATCGCGTGACGTGGAGCCCTGGGTGGCCTTGATCACCTCGTTCTGGGAGGGGAGCGGGATCCGGGCGGTAAGGGCGCAAATGACAGTTTTGAAACAATTTTGAGACAGTTTTGAGGCATCTCAAGACGGCGTGAACTTGGCCACACGGGACGTTGAGCCCTGGGTGGCCTCGATCAACTCGTTCTGGTGGGAAGCGGGATCCGGGCGGGCGGCAAGACAGACAGAGATGTGGCAGAACGAAAGGAGGCTCATGAGGGTACAGGGAGTAGGTATTGGATTGGCCCAGGTGCATTGTAGATGTAACCGTATCTTGCAGATGTAACCGTACCTTGCAGATGTAACCGCACCTTGTAGATGTAAACGTGCCTTGCAGATTCAACCATACCTTGTAGATGTAACCGTACCTTGTAGACGTAACTGTACCTTGTAGATGTAACCGTACCTTGTAGATGTAACCGTGGCCAAAGCCCCTCTCCATGGATGACTTGTTGATGATCATCGCATCCTCCATGTCATACCTGGTGAACGGGCAGGTGCACGGGCAGGTGAGCGGGCAGGTGAACGGGCAGTTGAACAGTCACTTGAAGTTGAAAGGAATATAACAAGCCAACAAGCGGAAGGTTTGCGTGCAACAGCGAAGGCGTTCAACCATGAGATTACAACCCTGCAGTGTACCCCTTATAGCACACCCCACATACCCGGTATAAGCCAGCACCGCAACGACAGCATTGGCCCCCGTGGGGTACTGGTCCATGGCGTAGTCGTCATACGCTGCCGTGCTGGCCCCGTTCACCCATCCATGATTCATCCCCTTTATAGCACACCCCACATACCCGGTATAAGCCAGCACGGCAACGACAGCATTGGCCCCAGTGGGGTATTGATCCATGGCATAGTCGTCATACGCTGCCGTGCGGGCGATGGGCGTCTGGGGCGTCTGTAGGCGGTACAGCTTGTTGTCATTGCGGAAGGGGAAGGAGTGCAGCGGCATGCCCATCGTTTGCTTCCCCATCTGTTGTATACAAACACATGAGACACATGCATGGTGGGCCAACACACACACACATCCATGTTGAGACGATGGGCAGTAAGAGCACATCAGCAGCACATGAAAAAGGGTGCTATTCAATGCTGACCTGGCACTGGTACATGCTGTGCTGACCTGTCAAGGGTACATGCTGTGCTGAACTGGCACTGGTACATATTGTGCTGACCTGGCACTGGTACATGTTGTGCTGACCTGGCACTGGTACATATTGTACTGACCTGGCACTGGTACATATTGTGCTGACCTGGCACTGGTACATATTGTGCTGACCTGGCACTGGTACATGCTGTGCTGACCTGGCACTGGTACATGTTGCGGGGGCTCTGGTTGTAATCGGACCAAGGGGTCAGATTCGCCATCACACTCAGGATATCCGTCGGCCGAACCTCCTCATGCGTCGCCGAACCTGTCGCCGAGGCTTGGCCGGACGGGGCGGAAGGGGCCGACGAACCATCGGGGCAGAGCACGTCGAGAAAGACCTGCCGGGGGAGAAAGGCCGGGAAGGGGTGGGGGAGGAAGAGGACGGGGAGAGGGACTTTTGCGTCGACTTGAAATTCACGATGAGCATCCGGGCAGAGCACGTGGAGAAAGACCTGATAGGAAGGGAGGAAGAGGGGGATGAAGGAGAAGAGACGGAAAGGAGTAGGGGGGAAGGGGGAGACGGGGTACAAGAGAGAAAGGGGAAAAGTGGGAGAAGAAAGAAAGAGACATGGGAGAGTTGTAGTCCTGTGAGTGGATAGGGAGAGTTGTAGTCCTGTGAGTGGATAGGGAGAGTTGTAGTCCTGTGAGTGGATAGGGAGAGTTGTAGTCCTGTGAGTGGATAGGGAGAGTTGTAGTCCTGTGAGTGGATAGGGAGAGTTGTAGTCCTGTGAGTGGATAGGGAGAGTTGTGGTCCTGTGAGTGGATAGGGAGAGTTGTGGTCCTGTGAGTGGATAGGGAGAGTTGTGGTCCTGTGAGTGGATAGGGAGAGTTGTGGTCCTGTGAGTGGATAGGGAGAGTTGTGGTCCTGTGAGTGGATAGGGAGAGTTGTGGTCCTGTGAGTGGATAGGGAGAGTTGTGGTCCTGTGAGTGGATAGGGAGAGTTGTAGTCCTGTGAGTGGATAGGGAGAGTTGTAGTCCTGTGAGTGGATAGGGAGAGTTGTAGTCCTGTGAGTGGATAGGGAGAGTTGTAGTCCTGTGAGTGGATAGGGAGAGTTGTAGTCCTGTGAGTGGATAGGGAGAGTTGTAGTCCTGTGAGTGGATAGGGAGAGTTGTAGTCCTGTGAGTGGATAGGGAGAGTTGTAGTCCTGTGAGTGGATAGGGAGAGTTGTAGTCCTGTGAGTGGATAGGGAGAGTTGTAGTCCTGTGAGTGGATAGGGAGAGTTGCAGTCCTGTGAGTGGATAGGGAGAGTTGTAGTCCTGTGAGTGGATAGGGAGAGTTGTAGTCCTGTGAGTGGATAGGGAGAGTTGTAGTCCTGTGAGTGGATAGGGAGAGTTGTAGTCCTGTGAGTGGATAGGGAGAGTTGTAGTCCTGTGAGTGGATAGGGAGAGTTGTAGTCCTGTGAGTGGATAGGGAGAGTTGTAGTCCTGTGAGTGGATAGGGAGAGTTGTAGTCCTGTGAGTGGATAGGGAGAGTTGTAGTCCTGTGAGTGGATAGGGAGAGTTGTAGTCCTGTGAGTGGATAGGGAGAGTTGTAGTCCTGTGAGTGGATAGGGAGAGTTGTGGTCCTGTGAGTGGATAGGGAGAGTTGTGGTCCTGTGAGTGGATAGGGAGAGTTGTGGTCCTGTGAGTGGATAGGGAGAGTTGTAGTCCTGTGAGTGGATAGGGAGAGTTGTAGTCCTGTGAGTGGATAGGGAGAGTTGTAGTCCTGTGAGTGGATAGGGAGAGTTGTGGTCCTGTGAGTGGATAGGGAGAGTTGTGGTCCTGTGAGTGGATAGGGAGAGTTGTGGTCCTGTGAGTGGATAGGGAGAGTTGTGGTCCTGTGAGTGGATAGGGAGAGTTGTGGTCCTGTGAGTGGATAGGGAGAGTTGTGGTCCTGTGAGTGGATAGGGAGAGTTGTAGTCCTGTGAGTGGATAGGGAGAGTTGTAGTCCTGTGAGTGGATAGGGAGAGTTGTAGTCCTGTGAGTGGATAGGGAGAGTTGTAGTCCTGTGAGTGGATAGGGAGAGTTGTAGTCCTGTGAGTGGATAGGGAGAGTTGTAGTCCTGTGAGTGGATAGGGAGAGTTGTAGTCCTGTGAGTGGATAGGGAGAGTTGTAGTCCTGTGAGTGGATAGGGAGAGTTGTAGTCCTGTGAGTGGATAGGGAGAGTTGTAGTCCTGTGAGTGGATAGGGAGAGTTGTAGTCCTGTGAGTGGATAGGGAGAGTTGTAGTCCTGTGAGTGGATAGGGAGAGTTGTAGTCCTGTGAGTGGATAGGGAGAGTTGTAGTCCTGTGAGTGGATAGGGAGAGTTGTAGTCCTGTGAGTGGATAGGGAGAGTTGTAGTCCTGTGAGTGGATAGGGAGAGTTGTAGTCCTGTGAGTGGATAGGGAGAGTTGTAGTCCTGTGAGTGGATAGGGAGAGTTGTAGTCCTGTGAGTGGATAGGGAGAGTTGTAGTCCTGTGAGTGGATAGGGAGAGTTGTAGTCCTGTGAGTGGATAGGGAGAGTTGTAGTCCTGTGAGTGGATAGGGAGAGTTGTAGTCCTGTGAGTGGATAGGGAGAGTTGTAGTCCTGTGAGTGGATAGGGAGAGTTGTAGTCCTGTGAGTGGATAGGGAGAGTTGTAGTCCTGTGAGTGGATAGGGAGAGTTGTAGTCCTGTGAGTGGATAGGGAGAGTTGTAGTCCTGTGAGTGGATAGGGAGAGTTGTAGTCCTGTGAGTGGATAGGGAGAGTTGTAGTCCTGTGAGTGGATAGGGAGAGTTGTAGTCCTGTGAGTGGATAGGGAGAGTTGTAGTCCTGTGAGTGGATAGGGAGAGTTGTAGTCCTGTGAGTGGATAGGGAGAGTTGTAGTCCTGTGAGTGGATAGGGAGAGTTGTAGTCCTGTGAGTGGATAGGGAGAGTTGTAGTCCTGTGAGTGGATAGGGAGAGTTGTAGTCCTGTGAGTGGATAGGGAGAGTTGTAGTCCTGTGAGTGGATAGGGAGAGTTGTAGTCCTGTGAGTGGATAGGGAGAGTTGTAGTCCTGTGAGTGGATAGGGAGAGTTGTAGTCCTGTGAGTGGATAGGGAGAGTTGTAGTCCTGTGAGTGGATAGGGAGAGTTGTAGTCCTGTGAGTGGATAGGGAGAGTTGTAGTCCTGTGAGTGGATAGGGAGAGTTGTAGTCCTGTGAGTGGATAGGGAGAGCTGTAGTCCTGTGAGTGGATAGGGAGAGCTGTAGTCCTGTGAGTGGATAGGGAGAGTTGTAGTCCTGTGAGTGGATAGGGAGAGTTGTAGTCCTGTGAGTGGATAGGGAGAGTTGTAGTCCTGTGAGTGGATAGGGAGAGTTGTAGTCCTGTGAGTGGATAGGGAGAGTTGTAGTCCTGTGAGTGGATAGGGAGAGTTGTAGTCCTGTGAGTGGATAGGGAGAGTTGCAGTCCTGTGAGTGGATAGGGAGAGTTGTAGTCCTGTGAGTGGATAGGGAGAGTTGTAGTCCTGTGAGTGGATAGGGAGAGTTGTAGTCCTGTGAGTGGATAGGGAGAGTTGTAGTCCTGTGAGTGGATAGGGAGAGTTGTAGTCCTGTGAGTGGATAGGGAGAGTTGTAGTCCTGTGAGTGGATAGGGAGAGTTGTAGTCCTGTGAGTGGATAGGGAGAGTTGTAGTCCTGTGAGTGGATAGGGAGAGTTGTAGTCCTGTGAGTGGATAGGGAGAGTTGTAGTCCTGTGAGTGGATAGGGAGAGTTGTAGTCCTGTGAGTGGATAGGGAGAGCTGTAGTCCTGTGAGTGGATAGGGAGAGCTGTAGTCCTGTGAGTGGATAGGGAGAGTTGTAGTCCTGTGAGTGGATAGGGAGAGTTGTGGTCCTGTGAGTGGATAGGGAGAGTTGTAGTCCTGTGAGTGGATAGGGAGAGTTGTAGTCCTGTGAGTGGATAGGGAGAGTTGTAGTCCTGTGAGTGGATAGGGAGAGCTGTAGTCCTGTGAGTGGATAGGGAGAGCTGTAGTCCTGTGAGTGGATAGGGAGAGTTGTAGTCCTGTGAGTGGATAGGGAGAGTTGTAGTCCTGTGAGTGGATAGGGAGAGTTGTAGTCCTGTGAGTGGATAGGGAGAGTTGTAGTCCTGTGAGTGGATAGGGAGAGTTGTAGTCCTGTGAGTGGATAGGGAGAGTTGTAGTCCTGTGAGTGGATAGGGAGAGTTGTAGTCCTGTGAGTGGATAGGGAGAGTTGTAGTCCTGTGAGTGGATAGGGAGAGTTGTAGTCCTGTGAGTGGATAGGGAGAGTTGTAGTCCTGTGAGTGGATAGGGAGAGTTGTAGTCCTGTGAGTGGATAGGGAGAGTTGTAGTCCTGTGAGTGGATAGGGAGAGTTGTAGTCCTGTGAGTGGATAGGGAGAGTTGTAGTCCTGTGAGTGGATAGGGAGAGTTGTAGTCCTGTGAGTGGATAGGGAGAGTTGTAGTCCTGTGAGTGGATAGGGAGAGTTGTAGTCCTGTGAGTGGATAGGGAGAGTTGTAGTCCTGTGAGTGGATAGGGAGAGTTGTAGTCCTGTGAGTGGATAGGGAGAGTTGTAGTCCTGTGAGTGGATAGGGAGAGTTGTAGTCCTGTGAGTGGATAGGGAGAGTTGTAGTCCTGTGAGTGGATAGGGAGAGTTGTAGTCCTGTGAGTGGATAGGGAGAGTTGTAGTCCTGTGAGTGGATAGGGAGAGTTGTAGTCCTGTGAGTGGATAGGGAGAGTTGTAGTCCTGTGAGTGGATAGGGAGAGTTGTAGTCCTGTGAGTGGATAGGGAGAGTTGTAGTCCTGTGAGTGGATAGGGAGAGTTGTAGTCCTGTGAGTGGATAGGGAGAGTTGTAGTCCTGTGAGTGGATAGGGAGAGTTGTAGTCCTGTGAGTGGATAGGGAGAGTTGTAGTCCTGTGAGTGGATAGGGAGAGTTGTAGTCCTGTGAGTGGATAGGGAGAGTTGTAGTCCTGTGAGTGGATAGGGAGAGTTGTAGTCCTGTGAGTGGATAGGGAGAGTTGTAGTCCTGTGAGTGGATAGGGAGAGTTGTAGTCCTGTGAGTGGATAGGGAGAGTTGTAGTCCTGTGAGTGGATAGGGAGAGTTGTAGTCCTGTGAGTGGATAGGGAGAGTTGTAGTCCTGTGAGTGGATAGGGAGAGTTGTAGTCCTGTGAGTGGATAGGGAGAGTTGTAGTCCTGTGAGTGGATAGGGAGAGTTGTAGTCCTGTGAGTGGATAGGGAGAGTTGTAGTCCTGTGAGTGGATAGGGAGAGTTGTAGTCCTGTGAGTGGATAGGGAGAGTTGTAGTCCTGTGAGTGGATAGGGAGAGTTGTAGTCCTGTGAGTGGATAGGGAGAGTTGTAGTCCTGTGAGTGGATAGGGAGAGTTGTAGTCCTGTGAGTGGATAGGGAGAGTTGTAGTCCTGTGAGTGGATAGGGAGAGTTGTAGTCCTGTGAGTGGATAGGGAGAGTTGTAGTCCTGTGAGTGGATAGGGAGAGTTATAGTCCTGTGAGTGGATAGGGAGAGTTGTAGTCCTGTGAGTGGATAGGGAGAGTTGTAGTCCTGTGAGTGGATAGGGAGAGTTGTAGTCCTGTGAGTGGATAGGGAGAGTTGTAGTCCTGTGAGTGGATAGGGAGAGTTGTAGTCCTGTGAGTGGATAGGGAGAGTTGTAGTCCTGTGAGTGGATAGGGAGAGTTGTAGTCCTGTGAGTGGATAGGGAGAGTTGTAGTCCTGTGAGTGGATAGGGAGAGTTGTAGTCCTGTGAGTGGATAGGGAGAGTTGTAGTCCTGTGAGTGGATAGGGAGAGTTGTAGTCCTGTGAGTGGATAGGGAGAGTTGTAGTCCTGTGAGTGGATAGGGAGAGTTGTAGTCCTGTGAGTGGATAGGGAGAGTTGTAGTCCTGTGAGTGGATAGGGAGAGTTGTAGTCCTGTGAGTGGATAGGGAGAGTTGTAGTCCTGTGAGTGGATAGGGAGAGTTGTAGTCCTGTGAGTGGATAGGGAGAGTTGTAGTCCTGTGAGTGGATAGGGAGAGTTGTAGTCCTGTGAGTGGATAGGGAGAGTTGTAGTCCTGTGAGTGGATAGGGAGAGTTGTAGTCCTGTGAGTGGATAGGGAGAGTTGTAGTCCTGTGAGTGGATAGGGAGAGTTGTAGTCCTGTGAGTGGATAGGGAGAGTTGTAGTCCTGTGAGTGGATAGGGAGAGTTGTAGTCCTGTGAGTGGATTAGGGAGAGTTGTAGTCCTGTGAGTGGATAGGGAGAGTTGTAGTCCTGTGAGTGGATAGGGAGAGTTGTAGTCCTGTGAGTGGATAGGGAGAGTTGTAGTCCTGTGAGTGGATAGGGAGAGTTGTAGTCCTGTGAGTGGATAGGGAGAGTTGTAGTCCTGTGAGTGGATAGGGAGAGTTGTAGTCCTGTGAGTGGATAGGGAGAGTTGTAGTCCTGTGAGTGGATAGGGAGAGTTGTAGTCCTGTGAGTGGATAGGGAGAGTTGTAGTCCTGTGAGTGGATAGGGAGAGTTGTAGTCCTGTGAGTGGATAGGGAGAGTTGTAGTCCTGTGAGTGGATAGGGAGAGTTGTAGTCCTGTGAGTGGATAGGGAGAGTTGTAGTCCTGTGAGTGGATAGGGAGAGTTGTAGTCCTGTGAGTGGATAGGGAGAGTTGTAGTCCTGTGAGTGGATAGGGAGAGTTGTAGTCCTGTGAGTGGATAGGGAGAGTTGTAGTCCTGTGCGTGGGCGTGGGCGTGGGCGTGGGCGTGGGCGTGGGCGTGGGCGTGGGCGTGGGCGTGGGCGTGGGCGTGGGCGTGTGAGAAGCAGAACCCAGCAGATGTAGCTCAGTGCTCAACTTCTCACATGCCCACGCCCACCACGTGTACTCTACCAACCTCACTCACATGCTGTTCTCGTTGCTACTACTGCTACTCCAGTGCCCACCTGCTCCAGTACCCACCTGCCCCAGTGCCTACCTGCCCCGGTGCCCACCTGCTCCAGTGCCCACCTGCCCCAGTGCCCACCTGCCCCAGTGCCCACCTGCCCCAGTGCCCACCTGCCCCAGTGCCCACCTGCCCCAGTGCCCACCTGCCCCAGTGCTCACCTGCTCGAGGCTGCCAATGAGCTCGAAGGTGGGTGCAGCGGCGGCCCTGGGGTTGAGGGAGGGCAGCTGCCGCACAGGCCGAACGAAGCGAGCCGGCGCAGAGAAGAGGAAAATGCCCGGGAAGGTTCCTTGCTGGGAGAAGGGGATGAAGGCGACCTCTAGGTCCCGAGGGATCTGCGAGCAGAGGGGGGAGGTTTGGGTGCGGGGGGGTGGAAGAAGGGAAACATGGGTTGGAGTGGAAAAAGGGGAAAGGTGGAGGTAATGGTATTGGTAATGGTGATAGTTATGATAGTGGTAATGGTAATAATAATGGTAATGCTAATGGTGATGATAACGGTGATGGTAATGTTAATGGTAATGGTAACGGTGATGGTAATGGTAACGGTGACGGTGATGGAAATGGTAACGGTGACGGTAATGGTAATGGTGACGGTGATGGTGATGGTAATGGTAATGGTGACGGTGATGGTAATTGTAATGGTAACGGTGATGGTAATGGTAATGATGACGGTGATGGTAATTGTAATGGTAACGGTGATGGCAATGGTAATGGTGACGGTGATGGTAATTGTAATGGTAACGGTGATGGTAATGGTAATGGTAATGGTGACGGTGATGGTAATTGTAATGGTAACGGTGATGGTAATGATAATGGTGACGGTGATGGTAATTGTAATGGTAACGGTGATGGTAATTGTAATGGTGACGGTGATGGTAATTGTAATGGTGACGGTGATGGTAATTGTAATGGTAACAGTGATGGTAATTGTAATGGTAACCGTGATGGTGATGGTAATGGTAATGGTGACGGTGATGGTAATTGTAATGGTAACGGTGATGGTAATGGTAATGATGACGGTGATGGTAATTGTAATGGTAACGGTGATGGCAATGGTAATGGTGACGGTGATGGTAATTGTAATGGTAACGGTGATGGTAATGGTAATGGTAATGGTGACGGTGATGGTAATTGTAATGGTAACGGTGATGGTAATGATAATGGTGACGGTGATGGTAATTGTAATGGTAACGGTGATGGTAATTGTAATGGTGACGGTGATGGTAATTGTAATGGTGACGGTGATGGTAATTGTAATGGTAACAGTGATGGTAATTGTAATGGTGACGGTGATGGTAATTGTAATGGTGACGGTGATGGTAATTGTAATGGTAACAGTGATGGTAATTGTAATGGTAACGGTGATGGTTATGGTAATGGTGACGGTGATGGTAATTGTGATGGTAACGGTGATGGTAATGATAATGGTGTCCAAACCACACCCCAACCATAGAAACACACATTTAGAGCCACTTGGATGCTTCACCCCAGCCGGTGCCATCTCGGAATGAATGTGCCCCATCACACACCCATCCACCATCACCGTCAGAGACACTGCCACTAGCCCCACTGAACTGCATACCACACTCACAACTAGGGGAACAGAAAGTTAGTGCCACTCACCCCAGCCTCCCCAGTGGCCTTAAGGCACCTCAGATGCTTCACCGCGGCCGGTGCCATTTCTGAGTGAATGTGCCCCAGTAGACACCCATCGACCATCACCGTCAGAAACACCGGAGGCGGGGCAGGGGGCGGCACCCCCGCCCCCACCGCCGCCAGCCCAAACGGCGCCAGACACCGCAGCACCGCCCGGCCAATCGCGTCGCGGGACTTCACCGAGCCAACCCCCGAACCTAGCCCCGAGGCTAGGGAGGCTGCCCCGGGAGTTCCGGCAGTCGTGGAGGGGGTGTGGGGGACGAGGGCAGAGCCGGGGGTGGAGGGGAGGAGGGCTAAGGAGGAGGAGGGGGCGGAGGGGGAGGGGGAGGCGAGGGGAGGGGGAGTGAGGTCGGTGGTGACAGTGCATGGGGCTGACAGGTGAGTGAGGAGACCGCAGGGGGCCCCATCGGGTGTGTGCACGGGACACACGAACCCCCACGACCTGCCGTGAGATGAGACGGGGTGGGTGGAAAAGAGGGAAGGGGGGTTGAGGTTGGCGGTGACTGTACATGGGGCTGAGAGGTGGGTGAGGAGGCCGCAGGGGGCGCCGTCTGGTGTGTGCACGGGACACACGAACCCCCACCCACGACCTGCAATTGTGGGGTGGGAAGCAAGGGGGAGAGGTGAGGAGATGAGGGCATAAGGAAAGGAGGGAGTAGCAGAAGAACCCATGTGGTGCGTGCATGGAACACATGAACCCCCATGACCTGCCATGGAAGGGGTAAAGGTGAGAAAACGAGGGAGAAGAGATGGGGAGACGAAGATGTGAGGCATGGCGAGAGCAGCAGGAGCACTCACTTTGGGGGCAACTTGCGCACAAATAGGGGAAACCCCTTCCTGGCTGCCCCTACCCATGCCCCACCCCACTCACTCGGGCAGCAGCTTTCGCACAGTGGTGGTCCGAAAGCTGTGCGAAAGCGTTCTTCGCCATCGAGTGGAGTGGAGAAGAACGCCCCTCGATGCACGGACCGGAAGTGCGAGAGGTAGCGGTGCCAGTTGAGCTTATCCGCCACGACAGTGAACCCCGACTTCTGAGACATGTCCAGCCCTGACGGACTCTATTACCCCCCCCCCTCCCACTCCCACACCCTCACACAGCGCCCACTCACTCTGGCAGCAGCTTGCGCACAGTGGTGGTCCGAAGAGTGGAGAAGAACGCCCCTCGATGCACGGACCGGAAGTGCGAGAGGTAGCGGTGCCAGTTGAGCTTATCCGCCACGACAGTGAACCCCGACTTCTGAGACATGTCCAGCCCTGACGGACTCTATTACCCCCCCCCCCTCCCACTCCCACACCCTCACACAGCGCCCACTCACTCTGGCAGCAGCTTGCGCACAGTGGTGGTCCGAAGAGTGGAGAAGAACGCCCCTCGATGCACGGACCGGAAGTGCGAGAGGTAGCGGTGCCAGTTGAGCTTATCAGCCACCACCGTGAACCCCGACTTCTGAGACATGTCCAGCCCTGACGGACTCTATTACCCCCCCCCCTCCCACTCCCACACCCTCACACAGCGCCCACTCACTCTGGCAGCAGCTTGCGCACAGTGGTGGTCCGAAGAGTGGAGAAGAACGCCCCTCGATGCACGGACCGGAAGTGCGAGAGGTAGCGGTGCCAGTTGAGCTTATCAGCCACCACCGTGAACCCCGACTTCTGAGACATGTCCAGCCCTGACGGACTCTATTACCCCCCCCCCCTCCCACTCCCACACCCTCACACAGCGCCCACTCACTCTGGCAGCAGCTTGCGCACAGTGGTGGTCCGAAGAGTGGAGAAGAACGCCCCTCGATGCACGGACCGGAAGTGCGAGAGGTAGCGGTGCCAGTTGAGCTTATCAGCCACCACCGTGAACCCCGACCTCTGTTGCATGTCCAGCCCTGACGGGCTCGCGAGATTCCCCGTGTTCAGCATGTACTCTATGTCCTTTCCTATAAACGTCATCGAAAGCCCGCCGGCCGGCGCCGCCCCTGCCGCCCCGGGCCGGCCGCCCTCGACGAGGCGGCGCAGCCAGTTGGAGGCGCGGAGGTCGGTGGTGGTGGGGTTGTCGACGAGCTCCTGGGCGGCGTGCGCTTGGATCTTGTGCAGGTGTACCTGCAGCTTCTCCTGAGGTGGAGAAGAGTGAAAGGGAAACAAGGGGAGGGGAGGGAAGGGGAGGGGAGGAAAGGGGTGGGTGGCATGCCGCATGCGTGTGTATCTTGTGCAGGCATAGCTGCAGCTTCTCCTGAGAGGGTGAGAGTGGGATACGGGGCAGGGAAAGGAAGGGGGGAGAAGTGAGGAGGGGGGGCGGCATGCGCTTGGATCTTGTGCAGCTGTAGATTCTCCTGATATGGTGGAATGTGGGGTATGGAGAAGGGAAGGTAAGGGGAGGGAAGGGAAGGGGGCGGGAAGGGAGGGAAGGGGATGGGAGGGAAGGGAAGGGAAGGGCGGGGGGGGTGACAAGGGCAACGGGGAGGAGAAGTGAAACGAAAGCTGCATAAGTATAGCTGGAGCTTCTCCTGTGATGGGGGAATGCGGAATACGGAGAAGGGAAGGGGGCACAAGGGGAGGGGAGGGGAGGGGAGGGGAGGGGAGGGGAGGGGAGGGGAGGGGAGGGAAGGGAAGGGGTGCGTTCCATAGGCAGGCATAGGGAGTGCAACAGTTACAACTTCTTAGAGAGGGAGCGGACCTTGATGAAGATGTTGAGGATGTGGCCCGGCAGGTAGAGCTCGTGATGCATGAGATGACTCAGAAGAGCATGGAGAGCGCAGGGAGAGAGCAAGAGAGAGAGGGAGCGGACCTTGATGAAGATGTTGAGGATGTGGCCTGGCAGGTAGAGCTCGTGGTGCATGAGCGTGTCCATTGAGTCCTCCTGTGATAGCCCGTCCACCATCGACCACAGCTTGTGCAGCATGAAGCTGAGAGGGAAGGGTGGAGGCACGAAGACAAGAGAAAGAGGCAGGCACAGGCACAAGGCAAAGAGAGCCGAGCGCAAAAGGGGGGAGATGAGGCCTGTAACGAGCCAAGGAGGCGCAGCTTGTCCATGTGCTTGTCGAGATGGACGAGGTCCGTTGGGGCATGTGTGGAGGAGGCACGTGGAGGGTACAGTACAGGGAGGCACATGAATGGAAGTGGAGGACATGTGCAGGGAAGGGCAACTCACACGAGCAGGCGCAGCTTGTCCACGGGCTTGTCGAGATGCATACCTTGTATGCAGTAATCACCAGGTCCGTGGAGGCATGTATGGAGGCATGCATGGAGGCACGTGGGAGGGCACGTGGAGAGGAGAGTACAGGGAGTAACTCACACGAGCAGTAAGGGAGGGAAGGGCGACTCACACGAGCAGGCGCAGCTTGTCCATGGGTTTGTCGAGATGCACGAGCACCAGGTCCGCTATGATCTGCTGCCCTACCTGTGTGAAGGGTGAGAGAGGAGAGAGGGTGAAAGGGCTTTTGCGACATCTCAAAAGAGGTGCAGGGGCACACAAGGTCTGCCCCACCTGTGGGAAACAGAGAGGGAGGAGAGAGAGAGAGGGAGTTGGAAAGCGGAAAGCGGAAGGAAGGGGACTGTGCACTTTCACAGCAGGGCGGAAGGTCTTCCCGAGAAAATCCAGGCACTTCATGGGCGTGAAGCAGTGATGGTCAACCCAGGTGAATCAGGTGAATCAGTCTCAGTCAGACCTCACGACAAGCCACTCACATAAGCGTCAGACTTGTGGCTTGGCACGTTCACAGCGGAGCGAAAGGTCTTCCCTAGGAAAGCAAGGCACTCCATGCCTAGGGAATGCATGGAGCAATGAGTTAGCACTCCATGCGCGAGAAACGGTGAGGCGCACATGGCACCCACATAGCCGACTCAGACCAGACTCAGCCCCCACAACCCCACAGAGACAGTGGAATCGTTGCCTTGCCACGCCACTCACATAGGCGTCTGACTTGTAGCTGGGCACGTTGACAGCAGGGCGGAAAGTCTTTCCAAGGAAGGCCAGGCACTCCATGCGCGTGAAGAGGCCCAGAGAGCGCGGGTGACTCAGCACCACCAACGCCCTCTCTCTCACAAACTGCGTTCCCAACCCCGCTGCCGCCGCCGCCGCCGCTGCTGCTGCTGGTTTTGTTGCTGCCTCTACTCCTCCTTCGGTTGCTGTGAGCTGCGTGTCGCTCTCCGGAGGGTCGGCTGCTGCCTGCTGTGCTGTGAGGATGGCCGTCAGATGCTCGTACAGCTCTGCATCTGAGACGTCCACCAGGCACTGGGAGGGGAGATTACAGGGGATTACGGAAGGGTGGGAGGCGGGGAGGTAGATGGACAAGAAGCCAGGTAAGCCGAAGGATGAGGATAGAAGCTCTGCATCTGAGACGTCCACTAGGCACTGGGAGGGAGGGGGGATTACGGACGGAAGGGTGGGAGGGGGGGAGGGGGGGAGGAGGTAGATGGACAAGAAGCCAGGTAAGCCGTTGGATGAGGATAGACGCTCTGCATCTGGACCGTCCGTTGTTCCGTGTGCATTTGATCACGGCAATCAAGGCACAAGGATAGTAAAGGAACGGTACTGGTGGTGCCATGAAGGAAGGGAGTTCATTCATGAGTGTTGGCCGGCCATTAAGGCAACACGTGAATGGCAACGGGCACCTTGGGAATCCAGGCAGAGCAACCACACGTACCGTTCACCACCGCACTGAAACGTTCACAGCACCTGCAGGCAGCTCACCTTGAGAATGATCCCCACGGGGATGAAATACTCTTGCTTCCTCAGGCTGTAGGGGAGTGAGAGTAGATGCAGATAGGGAGTGCGGGTGGGGGAAGAAGAGAAACCGGGGCATGAGCAGAGTCGAATGGACTGGTAAAGGAGGAGTGATTAGTCGGGGGGTTGCAGTGCAGTGCAGCGCATGTGTAGCGCAGTGCAGAGCAGACATGCAGTGAAGAAACGGGGAGCGAGGAAGGAGAGAGGAAAGGGAGGCAAGCTGACTGGAGGGGAGGGAGAGGAGAGGGTGGTGATCTGGGGGAGCGGTGGGGAGGGAGAGGTGGGAAGGGAGGAGGGCGGGGAGGGAGGGAGGTGGGTAGGAAGAGTGGTGGAGGGAGGGGTGGCGGAGGGAGGGTGGGGAGGGAGTGAAGGCGAGAGGTAGGGCGGGGAGGGAGTGACGGCGGCAGGGAGGGGGGGGAGGGAGTGAAGGCGAGAGGGAGGGTGGGGAGGAAGTGAAGGAGGGAGGGAGGGTAGGGAGGGAGTGAAGGCGGGAGGGAGGGCGGGGAGGGAGTGAAGGCGGGAGGGAGGGCGGGGAGGGAGTGAAGGCGGGAGGGAGGGTGGGGAGGGAGTGAAGGCGGGAGGGAGGGTGGGGAGGGAGTGAAGGCGGGAGGGAGGGTGGGGAGGGAGTGAAGGCGAGAGGTAGGGCGGGGAGGGAGTGAAGGCGGGAGGGAGGGAGGGGAGGAAGTGAAGGAGGGAGGGAGGGTAGGGAGGGAGCGAAGGCGGGAGGGAGGGTAGGGAGGGAGTGAAGGCGGGAGGGAGGGCGGGGAGGGAGTGAAGGCAGGAGGGAGGGTGGGGAGGGAGTGAAGGCGGGAGGGAGGGTGGGGAGTGAAGGCGGGAAGGAGGGTGGGGAGGGAGTGAAGGCAGGAGGGAGGGAGTGGAGTGAAGGGAAGGCGGGACTGACGAGAAGTTGAAGCATGCGTTGCCATCGTTGACGTAGACGACCCGGTTGGTCACTGCTGATTGGTCTGTGCGCACACACCTGCATGCACCACATGCCAAGCCACGAATCGTCCGGAAGGATTATGAAGATTCCCAACAATCGTCCAGAAGTTGCTTGCAATGCAAGCAAGCAACTGCAGCCTCTCAACCGGGTTGAGAGGTTCGTTAGGTAGATCGGGGCTCGCAACTTCTCGACCAACTGCTCCTCTCAAGCGAACCTCTCCGTGAACTCACGTCGACCCTATTCTCCAAATGGTCGTGTCGTGGCAAAGATGGGGCGTTACCGGATGGTGTTTCTTTCCTCAGCCAGCGTGGGGCGTCACGTCATCATGTGCACAACTCAGCACAAACTCAGTGCCCCCCCCACACACATGTACCGTGCACAGCATGCACCACACCACACCACACCACACCACACCCCACACCACGCACATTCACAGCACAGCACCCATCGGCTGCTCCACTCCACCTGCTCGTCATGCTCACCGGATGGTGGTGGCCATGTCTGAGAAGTTGAGCCCCTTCTTTAGCAGCGTGGGGCGCCGCTATGCTCACAACGCAACACACTTTCAGTGCCCCAATTACCATGCACATGCACACACACTCTGCTGCAGCTGCATCGAGCCTCATGCTCACCGGATGGTGGTGGCCATGTCTGAGAAGTTGAGCCCCTTCTTTAGCAGCGTGGGGCACCAATATGGTCACAACGCAACACAACACACCGCACAACATACCATGTGCTGTGCATTCACAGCCACACACACACTCACACCACCCACAGGCCACCTCCACCTGCTCCTCGTGTCATGCTCACCGGATGGTGGTGGCCATGTCAGAGAAGTTGAGCCCCTTCTTTAGCAGCGTGGGGCGCCGCAGATTCATCACCTGGTGGTGGTGGGGGGGGAAGTAGGGAGGGAGCGGGAGCAACGGCAAGCTGTGCTCAATACCTGCGCTTGAGTCACGTCACGGCACGAATCCCTAGTTGAAAGCACGGAGCCTATTTAAAAAAACAGCAGGATCGACCATGTGAAAAAAAATAAACGCCCTCTCATAAATGTACCATTCCCCTCACACCACCATTCCCCTCACACCACCATTCCCCTCACACCACCATTCCCCTCACACCACCATTCCCCTCACACCACCGTTCCCCTCACATAGTTGCGGCGGGGAGCAATGAGCAGGCGGATGAGACGCTCGATGCCGTTGCAGATGAAGTAGCTGCGACGGGGAAGGGATGGCACGGCATATGGTGGGTGGGTAGGGCATGGCACATGGGCACTTTACATGTTGTGGACGATGGGGGTGGTGACATTAAGGGGCATGGCAGGATATGACTCCTTTTTGGAAATGATCAAACGGGAATGACTGACAGGGAACGCAAGGCCAATGGGCGATTGTAAATTAACATTAGGGTTGGGCGGGGCATGGGATGGGGCTTTGCATGGGGAGAGAGCATACAGTGCTGGCAACGGCTAGGAGAAAGAAAACAGAATTTCCTTTTGACATTCTGCTTGCACTATGTCGAAATTCTGAACCACACGGCACCGAACAGAACAGAACAGCCCCGCACAGAACCATTGAGCACAAGGCCCGGCCAAGCTCACCCGCCGAGCTCGATGCTCTCCTCCTTGCGCCGCACGAGCTGCTCCTGTGTGAGGTGGCGCGGGTGGCTCAGCACCACCCCCGCGCTCTCCCCCGCGCTCTCCCCACAAAACCCAGAACCGCACAGCAAACCCAGTTCAACACACAAGGCTTAGTCCAGCTCACCCGCCGAGCTCGATGCTCTCCTCCTTGCGCCGCACGAGCTGCTCCTGTGTGAGGTGGCGCAGATGACATGAACCGGACTGCAGGGGTGCACAGGGGTACAGAGGCATACGCAGGGGTGCACAGGGGTACACATCGCCACGCAGGGATACACAGGGGTGAAGATGGGCACGCATGAGTACTCAAGTCTCAAAAGTTCACACGAGCTGCTCCTGAGAGGGACTGCATGCGCCTGGCTGCAACACATTGCACATCAAATTACTTCTTCTGTACTTCAACTTAATCGCACTCGCTCGTGCCACGTCAGCTCAGCACACACACACACCTTGACCATGATTGGCACCCTGCCCAGGCTCAGCTGCTGGCGCTGCATGGGACCCTTCGCCACGTCAGCAAGCGCCACGTCATCGTCCTCGTCAAAGTAGGAGACGCAGAGGTCGATGCGGAAGTCGCCCCGGTAGGTGGTGCCCGCCTGGCGACACTGGTGTGACAGAGACGAAGGGGAAGAGGGCAAAAACGGGGGGTGGAGGGGTGTGGGGGATGGTGGAAAGGAAGTCGATTCGGAAGTCGCCCCTGTAGGTGGTGCCCGCCTGGCGGCACTGGTGTGGGAGAGACGAGGGGGAAGGAGGGCGGCGGGGAGCGGAAACGGGGGGAAATGGGGGAAAGGGATGTAAGTGGTGCCCGCCTGGCGGCAGTAGCATGGCAGCAAGGGATGAAGGTGGGGTGAAAGGGTGGGAGCTGAAAGGGCAGCGAAGCAGAGCCACAAGGGTTCTGCTGTTACCAAGCAGAACCCTTGTGGCGCGCCAAGCACAGGCACCTATGCGACGACTTTTGAGGCGCCTCAAAAGCTGTTACCAAGCAGAACGCTTGTGGCGCGCCAAGCACAGGCACCTATGCGACGACTTTTGAGGCGCCTCAAAAGCTGTTACCAAGCAGAACGCTTGTGGCGCGCCAAGCACAGGCACCTATGCGACGAGCAACCTCTTCACTTCAGTGTCCACTGGGAACCCACTCCCCTCCCTCCAGGGCCGAATGCTTTACTGGTGTTGTGATGCGGTGTACCTCTGAGGGGTAAACGGGTCGGTGCTGGCCATCCTCGCTAAAAGGCTTTGTGATGCTCGGATTCTCCCACCACACTGCGTAGGGAACGGGAACAAGGAAACCCTAAATCTCAATTCTGAAGGAGTTGACGAGAAAGGAAGACGAGAGGGACACGCTAACAGTAGAAAATTAGGTGAGTACGAATGCAGTTGCATATTCAGAGAGGGGGAATGCATGTCAGTCAGCGAATATTAGTCCGCTAATCTCACAACCATTTAGAAGTCTCGGGTTTTAGGTCTTACAGTAGAATTTGAGCTTCCTAAACGAATCGTGCACTTCCACGGGTCGAATCAGGCGAACAGCTTCTGGTAACCCGCGCTCGACGAAATAGTCGAAGGAGTCGATGTGCGGCGCGACGAGGTTCTCGAGGTTCTCCGGCACGCCCTGCCGCACGTCGTCGCCCTCGAACGACACCGCCATGCGCGCGACCCCGCTAAACACACGCGCTCGCTGCGCTAACTTGCGATCGCTGCGCTGCGATAACTCACGTGCGCACTGCGCTAACACACGCGCGAATCAACAGACGAACGTGCAAGCGCGGGAATGAGAGAGGCGAACACGCGCGCGCGAGCGACCTGCGGCGAGGTCTCCGAACACAGCTTGACCGCTTCGCGGGAATGAGATAACGAAATGAATAAGGTGGCTTGGCGAACACTAACCGCACTACCCGCCTCGCTCGCCGCACAGGAGCGAATTACCTAATTCAACAGAATCGCCCAACACAGCTCCCGGCGATTATGAACGACGCAGCACGGGAGGCAACTTCCAGGTAACCAGGTAACGATACAGCTGGTGCAACTGCGCCTCGAAGACGGTGCTGATCGACGGGTCGGTACGGCAATGTGACTGTAACGAATCCTGACCGCCTAAGGCGTAGATAATCCGCGAGTCTTTCAGTCAAATACGACCCTCAGCAGGTAGTGAAGCTATTCGTCAACCTACTGGCAGAGCATCTCTGTCACCTTAGACCTCCTAAACCTCGACTCTACCTCGGCGGGAAAATATTTCTCCACCGTGATTCTGACAGGCAACCCCTGAACCTCTCCTTCCAGTACTGTCCTCGTTTGAAGACGATAGAGCAACAAATCGCAGAGAAACTAAATCTTGAAATGGTGAGAAAGGCAAAATAGTTGGACTTGCAGGTCTATAAATGTTTAATTTGTGAAATAGCAATGTGAACCAACAATAGTGAACAACTAAATAACTAGTTATTAGATCCAATACGCAATATTTTGAGTCTCGGAATAAAAAAAGCTAAAAATAATCGCAGAAAGCCTTTCTCCATCTCCTAAGCGGCCTGCAGCGAGAAAGAAAACGTGAATTTCTTCACATTTTAGTTGCATATAACTGAAACCAAAAGAGTATTTGAACTGATACACGATTGCAGTGCCACATGGGCACGTCTACTTAATACCCATCTGAGCAGCATAAAAAATCTTGCCCCATCGCTATCCTCCCTACTATCCAAAACTTCCACCATTGCTCAGCGTCCTCTCATTTCTGCCTTGCTTGCCTGCCCTTCTGTACTCCCTTCCAGCTGTTGTCGCCATCCCTGGACTTTTCAAGCCCTATGCCATTTCTTGCCATTCCATGCCATGCCATGCCAAGCATGCCAAGCCATTCCATGCCATCCTATCCCAGGCATGCCATGCCACCATGCCATTCCATGGCATGCCATGCCATGCACAGCATGGCACAGCACACAGCATGGCACAGCACACAGCATGGCACAGCACACAGCATGGCACAGCACACAGCATGGCACAGCACACAGCATGGCACAGCACACAGCATGGCACAGCATACAGCATGGCACAGCACACAGCATGGCACAGCACACAGCATGGCACAGCACACAGCATGGCACAGCACACAGCATGGCACAGCACATGAAAGAAGATCTAGTTCAAATCAGCACATTGCAGTGGCGTCAGCGCCATAGGGCTCATCATGTGCCACCAAACGTTGCTGCTCCGCTTTTGTTACTAATGTCAACAAATGTAGTTGCTACACTTGATTATTACCTATGAGCATCCTGCTCTCATGCAACAGGTGGCATCGGGCCATAGGGCTCATCATGTGCCACCAAACAGCGTCTTGCTCTCATGGGACAGAGGGAGGAAAACAGAGAGAGAGAGAGACAGAGGGAGGAAAACAGAGAGAGAGGTGAGAGAGGAAGGAAAACAGAGAGAGTGGTGACAGAGGAGGAAAGAGAGAGATGACAGAGGTAGAAAAACAGAGAGAGAGGTGACAGAGGTAGGAAAAGAGAGAGAGAGGTGACAGAGGTAGGAATTTCCTAACACGCCACACTTACTTGCACCACCCACTCTCACTACCACCCACTCATGTCCACTCTCATTCCTAACACGCCACACTTACTTGCACCACTGACTTTCACCACCGAATCCCACCTCTCACTTTCACCACCAAATCCCACCACTCACTCCCACCTCTCACTCCATCCCATCACCTCGCCACTCCCAACCCTCCACCATCACCGCTCACACTCACCACTCACTCTCACCGCTCTGTCTCACCACACTCTCGCGATTGTCGCCGCTCTAACCTCACCGCTCTAACCACTCATCCACACCACCCTCTCTGTTCTCACTGCAACCAGCAGCACCCACACACTGCGCACTGTTGTACCCCTTGCCACTCTCCACGCAGTGACACTCACCACTCCCTTACTGCACTCTCACCACTCACTCCCTGTCCACTCTCAGTCCTCAATCTCTACACTCACTTGCACCACTCACTCCAGTTCACCATCTGGACACTCCCACCCCTCCATCACTCTCCATTCCCACGTGAAGCGAGGTTGTTTTTGAGACGTCTAAAAACACCATCTGGACACTCCCACCCGTACATCACTCTCCACGCACCTTCACCACTCGCTCCAACCCCTCACAATCGCCACACGGTCTCACCACACACTCACGATTCTCACCACTCCAGCCACTCACCCGCACCACCTTCTATACTCTCACTGCCACCAGCATGCACTCTCACTGCCATTCTAACCTCCTACTCTCACAACTCTTTCCCACCACTCACTCACTCTCATGGCTGACACCTCTCTCGCTCTACCTCACTCGCCACTCACGCACACTTGCTGCTCACTCTCCGCACACACCCAAGCTTACCATTCTCACAACTCAATCCCATACTCATTCTCACCTCTTGGACTCTCACTACTGACCCTAACCACTAGCTCTCACTCACCAGCCTTACAAGCACTCACTCATTCACTCACTCACTCACAACAAAAAATCGGCTGTGGCTATCACCACTTTCACCACTCAACTCCCTCAGTCCCACCTGTGGCTATCACCACTTTCACCACTCAACTCCCTCAGTCCCACCTGTAGCTATCACCACTTTCACCACTCAACTCCCTCAGTCCCACCTGTGGCTATCACCACTTTCACCACTCAACTCCCTCAGTCCCACCTGTGGCTATCACCACTTTCACCACTCAACTCCCTCAGTCCCACCTGTGGCTATCACCACTTTCACCACTCAACTCCCTCAGTCCCACCTGTGGCTATCACCACTTTCACCACTCAACTCCCTCAGTCCCACCTGTGGCTATCACCACTTTCACCACTCAACTCCCTCATTCCCACCTGTGGCTATCACCACTTTCACCCATTACCCTAATCACACACTCAATCACACCACTCACACTACCCACCATCACCTCTGATGCAACAGGTGGCATCATGTGCCGTACGGCTCATCATGTGCCGCCCAAGGGGACTCAGCCCCTTTCACTTGCACTCACCCACCCAAGGGGACTCAGCCCCTTTCACTTGCACTCACCCACCCAAGGGGACTCAGCCCCTTTCACTTGCACTCACCCAACCAAGGGGACTCAGCCCCTTTCACTTGCACTCACCCACCCAAGGGGACTCAGCCCCTTTCACTTGCACTCACCCACCCAAGGGGACTCAGCCCCTTTCACTTGCACTCTCCCACCCAAGGGGACTCAGCCCCTTTCCCTTCCACTCACCCACCCAAGGGGACTCAGCCCCTTTCCCTTCCACTCACCCACCCAACGGGTTTCAGGCCCCTTTCCCTTCCACTCACCCACCCAAGGGGTTTCAGGCCCCTTTCCCTTCCACTCACCCACCCAAGGGGTTTCAGGCCCCTTTCCCTTCCACTCACCCACCGAAGGGGTTTCAGGCCCCTTTCCCTTCCACTCACCCACCGAAGGGGTTTCAGGCCCCTTTCCCTTCCACTCACCCACCCAAGGGGTTTCAGGCCCCTTTCCCTTCCACTCACCCACCCATGGGGTTTCAGGCCCCTTTCCCTTCCCACTCACCCACCCATGGGGTTTCAACCCCATTCCCTTCCTGCTCACCCACCCATGGGGTTTCAACCCCTTTCCCTTCCACTCACCCACCCATGGGGTTTCAACCCCTTGCCCTTCCCACTCACCCACCCATGGGCTTTCAACCCCTTTCCCTACCACTCACCCACCCAAGGGGTTTCAGGCCCCTTTCCCTTCCACTCACCCACCCAAGGGGTTTCAGGCCCCTTTCCCTTCCACTCACCCACCCAAGGGGTTTCAGGCCCCTTTCCCTTCCACTCACCCACCCAAGGGGTTTCAGGCCCCTTTCCCTTCCACTCACCCACCCAAGGGGACTCAGCCCCTTTCCCTTCCACTCACCCACCCAAGGGGACTCAGCCCCTTTCCCTTCCACTCACCCACCCAACGGGTTTCAGGCCCCTTTCCCTTCCACTCACCCACCCAAGGGGTTTCAGGCCCCTTTCCCTTCCACTCACCCACCCAAGGGGTTTCAGGCCCCTTTCCCTTCCACTCACCCACCGAAGGGGTTTCAGGCCCCTTTCCCTTCCACTCACCCACCGAAGGGGTTTCAGGCCCCTTTCCCTTCCACTCACCCACCCAAGGGGTTTCAGGCCCCTTTCCCTTCCACTCACCCACCCATGGGGTTTCAGGCCCCTTTCCCTTCCCACTCACCCACCCATGGGGTTTCAACCCCATTCCCTTCCTGCTCACCCACCCATGGGGTTTCAACCCCTTTCCCTTCCACTCACCCACCCATGGGGTTTCAACCCCTTGCCCTTCCCACTCACCCACCCATGGGCTTTCAACCCCTTTCCCTACCACTCACCCACCCAAGGGGTTTCAGGCCCCTTTCCCTTCCACTCACCCACCCAAGGGGTTTCAGGCCCCTTTCCCTTCCACTCACCCACCCAAGGGGTTTCAGGCCCCTTTCCCTTCCACTCACCCACCCAAGGGGTTTCAGGCCCCTTTCCCTTCCACTCACCCACCCAAGGGGTTTCAGGCCCCTTTCCCTTCCACTCACCCACCCAAGGGGTTTCAGGCGCCTTTCCCTTCCACTCACCCACCGAAGGGGTTTCAGGCCCCTTTCCCTTCCACTCACCCACCG